TTTAGGAAACTTTTCTGTGACATAAGAAAGTGTGAATTTGTTTTGTCAAACTATTTGGCTACAAATAACTCTTAGGAGCGACCTGTATGGAACGATACATTGCGAGGAATTCTGGTTGCTCTCGTCAAGGATCGGCGAGCGCTTTGGGATGCACGTTTCCGCACGAGCAAAGAAAAAACCATGTACTATTTCCGTGAAATCGCTAGCATTCTTTCGAATCAGGACGAGCGAATGAACGGTATTTATTGAGCACTTCTACAAGAGTTTATATTATTTTTTACTCTGACTTTCGAGTAAATTTGGATTATGATCTTTCGAACTAGTTCAATTGAAGAATTTTCCACTGCATTCTAATCGACTTCAGTTACTTATAAATTTTTTATTGGTATTGCTTTTTGTCGTAGCTAGAGGAGTCACATCGAGGCTTATACCTGTACTGAGTATAAGTATTTTGTTTGGAAGACGCAGCACTACTCCTCTGATTTTAGCGCGTTGGATAGTGCACAAAAATTATCTTTAGAATGGTCTGTGCTTGACAAATGGTGTTGGATGGTAGAGATGTACATGCGAACTGTTGAGCGCCCATCGTTCGACTGGCGATTCAAGGGGGCTATGGCATTTCATAATGAATTTGCTGCTAACGGTGTGCAGTACATAGGGTATATCATTCTGGCTGCAATATCAGCTGATTATGCATTATGATTTCAGATCGCTCACTCCTGAGATACTCATAGAATTGACGTCCGTTTACGGCGAGACGGAAGCGGAATCTCAGGAGATCAAGGTGAATATGTCTTTTAAAAGCGGAGTGTCAGGCTTGATATTCAAATGACGCGCGGAATCATCTTCGATCAGATTTGGGGTTTTGAGAGTCGTGGGCTAATGGATATGAGCGAAACTGTGTATTGGAGATGATGTAGATTAACGATAATTTGAGTTTTACAACTTCTGTATCATCGTTGATAGTGAGTGAAACATCACCAAACATGATACCCCAAAATCTCACAGATAAGCCTACCCATCAGATAAGTCCGCCTACGGATAAGTTTGCCATCAGATAAGTCCGCTTTTTTACAGATAAAAACCTTCAGATAAGTCTGCCTACAGATAAGTC